TTCAAACAACTCAACAGCCTTGAGGTAGTGCAAAATGAAGCCATGCGCATCATCCTAGGTGCCCAAAATCAACCAAATTGTAAACATGAGGAAAGAGCTCAGGCTGCCCTCCTATCTGAGAGGATGGCCTACTTAATACCATGTTTTGTGTCAAAGTTTTGAAGAACAATAGTTCTTAAACTTACAACTCAAACTGAATTGATGTTCTATCTAAAGTAATCCCGACCATCTCCTTAACCTTTTCACAAAAAGACTCTCTTTAGGGCGTGGCTTCATAAAAGTGTTGCAGATCCTGAAACTGAATGTCCCAATCACCCAAGACGAACCTATTAATGCCATTCCTCCTTGGCTGGACATATCAGTTCCTATTAATTACACTCCTGTTGGTAGTAAGCAAATGTTAAACACCGATGTGGTGAGATGTGTCACACTAGAAACTATTAACAGACACATAAAGAGTATTAAATCAAGTGAATGTTATGCTTTTACTGATGGTTCTGTGCAGACAAACACAGGTAGAACAGGCTGTGCAATTGTAATATATAAAGAAAAAGAGATGATAGTGTCAAACAAACAAAGGCTGAACAACTGGGCCAGCACAACACAAACTGAACTAACTGGAATCTACTTAGCCACAGACTACCTCAAAGAAAATGGAGGTGGGGTGATATTCTGTGACTCTCAAAGTGCTTTGAAATCAATGAACAGCCCGTCAGGCTCTATGTCTAAAGTTGCGTGTGATATTAAAAGGAATGTGATAACTGCCAATGAGAACAACTTTCGTATCGAATTTGTGTGGATTCCGTCCCATGTTGGAATCAGGTATCATGACCATGTTGATAGACTGGCCAATGAGGCATGTAAGAAAGAAAATGTTGACCGCGACCTTGGTCTGTCCAATGCTGTAATTAAAAACATTCAAGTCAGAATCATGAACTCTGATCTAGATGAAGTGAGAAATGCAGAGAGACCTGACAGTTGTAGCATTAGTAAATATGAAAAATTTTGTAACAAGAGGTACCGGTATGGCCAGCATAAGGACAGAACCAGACAATGTGATGTAGTCGTGGCCAGAATTAGGCTAGGATACAGACACATCTGGCAAGTTAGTAACGCTGTACCCATACCGGAACACTCAGCATGTAAACTTTGTGATAAACCTTTGAAGCATACACTTGAACACTATATTATTGAATGTGACACTGTCAAAGACTTCAGGCCACCTGACTTACTGTATCTTGAACTATGTAATTACTTCATTGAATCAGGTGTGCTTGAGGACATTCTTGCTGTTTATCCCAAATTTGCTAGCCCACACTGATTAGTCTTCAATTAGAATATGACTCCAGTGTATGTGATCCACTGACCTATATATACTGCTAATGAATATGATGTATTTCCTTCTTTGTGTACGAACCTCTGTCCTGCGTGGCAGTGAACAGTGGCATTACCCACATGAATCTGACCTATATATAGTGTCAATGAATATGATGCATTCTTTGTGTACGAACCTCTGTCCTGTATGGCAGTGAAAAGTGACATTACCCACATGAATCTGACCGACGTATATGTATGTATGTGTGCGTGTGTGCATGTATATGTACGTGTACATGTATATGTGTATATACGTATATGTATGTATATGTGTGTGTGTGTGTTTACATATATGTATATGTACTGTCAATGAATATGATGCAACTCTTTGTGTACGAACCTCTGTCCTGCATGGCAGTGAACAGTGACATTATCCATTTGAACCTGACCTATATACATTTATAGTTGTTAATGAATATGATGTATTTCTTTGTGTGTGAACCTCTGTCCTGCGTGACAGTGAGAAGTGATACCACCCTCAGTGTCAAGACCTGACTGAATTACTCAGAATAGGCAAACTGTACTACAAGCTCTGCCAATAAATTTGTTAAACCAAAAAAAAAACCTCCAACAACTAGGAACGATAGCTTCCCTCCTACAGCTAAAAATGATAGCTTCCCTCCTACAGCTGAGAACGATAGCTTCCCTCCTACAACTAGGAACGATAGCATCCCTCCTACAGCTAAGAACGATAGCATCCCTCCTACAGCTAAGAACGATAGCATCCCTCCTACAGCTAAGAACGATAGCTTCCCTCCTACAGCTAAGAACGATAAATAAGGAGAAAGAACTCTGGTCACGGATCAGCAGCAGCAACAGTAAACAGAACGATGTACAGTGAAACGTTATCAAGTGATAATGTTTGTTGTTTCACCTGAGTCGTGGAATAAAGGAGGTGGTTGTGTTGTTACTACTGGCCTTAATTATTATCATTATTATTATTATTATTATTACGTTAGATCATCGAAAAAATGCCAAGGTCATATATTTAAATTGGGGTATTTTTTTCCATGACCCTGTGTGGTAAATTGGTAAGGAAAGAAAATTACCTTTATTATTGTAGTGAAAAAGGTGTGTCGTATAAAGTCAGCATCAGTATAATACACACACACACTCTCTCTCTCTCTCTCGTCTCTATATAGCAGTTACCACATCCAAACATACACACTCCCACTACACACACAAACAGATACAAACACCGACACGCAACCACCAACACTCGATAATCCGATGCACCACGGGAACACATACAAGGATGCCCGACTACTGAGGTTTGTATGTGTGTGTGTGTGTGTGTGCGTGTGTGTGTGTGTGTGTGTGTGTGTGTGTGTGTGTGTGTGTGTTCGGAAGGGTCACTAAGTGGATCATCAAGGCGGCTTTGTTTATCACTGTTGCCAGCACCAAGTAGCACGATACCCTCCTACTTATTGATACCCGAGATGAATTATGAGGGTGATAAATGATAACTGCAGCCAATAATAATAATAATAATAATAATAATAATAATAATAATAATAATAATAATAATAATAATAATAATAATACTGGTAATAATAATAATAATAATAATAATAATAATAATAATAATAATAATAATAATAATAATAACAATAATAATAATATTAATAATAATAATAATAATAAAGTAGCATTAAGGCATTAAGGTATTTAATCATCAGGTGAAATAAGGTGGAGGTATACTCACAAATCTACAACAATTAAAGAAACTGACAACTCCCTCAGCCACAGGTGTTGAGGGCGCGGAAGCAGGTGTCTCCTCGTACACCTGTAATGGCTTTATATTTAGCATGAGTGAGTCTTTCTTGTGAACGTTTTTCCTGACCGATATTAAAAATTATTCCGTTACCATCTTGATCATCGACCCTCTGTCTGCATTCCTTCTCCTCGTCCTTCATCGCCTCCGTCACTAGCCACTAAAAGAGATAATAATGAGTTCTTGATCACCCATGTTTTCCCCCGTCGAGTCCTTTGAACCCAGTTATGGCAAGAAGATTGTTGTGAAACTGTGCACCATAACACAACACTACAGTCCTCCCGGGATGATGCAAGATGGTGACTGGTGTTCGAATAATTTAGACTGACTAAACAAAAAAACACATACCATTCCTTACTCCTCTTCCCTTCAAAAAACATCATCATCCTTCGGCTCTCTTCTGACATTTCAAGGATCATTTGCCAAGGGTTGTATATCACTGGTCCATCATGGCTACGTTGGACGGATCATGTAATAAATGCCCGAACAAAGACCTCGTAAAAACTACTCTCCCGCGCCGTCCATGAACCTTAGGGGCCATACAGGGTAATAGTGTTTGTCAGTGACCTTCATAATCGAACATCTTGGCTCTCGTGGTTCTTTCTCTCAAGCAAGGATAGACACACACAAACAAACGAACGGAGAACAGAGAGACACACAGACAGGCGGATAGAGACAACTAACAATGGTAAATAAACACATATTAATAGAGAGTGGGTGGCTGGCCGTCTGCCTCTCAACTTGACCACAACATCGCGTGAGGCTTTAGTCCACATCTTCATGGTCAGTCACGTCACCTCCACCACACACCCCATCCTGGGCTCTCAGTGCTATAGATTTACGCCATAAGTTCTCCCCGTAACAAAGAGAACTCATCCAGACCAACGCATAGTCTCTGTTCATCCTTAACACCACTTTTAATCACCGATCCTTAGATACGTTCTCACGTCTTCAGTTACGAGAAGAGTTTAAAGTGCAAAAGTGACTTCGAGAGTAACATGAGGTGAGTTTTTAGAACTATTACTACATATCTTGACTGGTGGTGAACTGCTTCCTTAATTTAGTGTTGTTGTTAAGCTTATTCAAGTGATGGTGTAAGTGGCCTTCCCTAATCCGAGAATTGCTGTTTGACACCACAACCGCATCCAGCCATACGAGCACGTACTGATCGCCATAAGAACAGCCCAGTCCCAACCATTGTAAAAATTATCAATAACTTGTAATCAACCAGTGTATTCACTCCCAGTCAATCTTACCGTGTTGCACTGTCACTATGTTGAAATGCCCTTTAGTATGACCCTCTCCCCACCTAGTCATTATATATCATATTTGTATCACTTATGTTACTTGTATATTATTTGTAAATCAAGAGACCCCATTCCCCAATTATGCAACTGTATATATTCAGCCTTCCGGCTGCCCTGCTCTTTCAATAAACCGTTAATTATCATTAATATTACACACACACACACACACACACACACACACACACACACACACACACACACACACACACACACACAATGCATATTTTCAGCCTTCGGGCTGCAAACTTTTTCACTAAACAGTTTATTATTATTATTATCATTATTATTATTATTACACACACACGCACACACACACACAGGGATGAGGACATTAATACCTTTTCTTCAAAGGCAATTTCTTTTCCATTCGACTTTAAAAGAGGATCTGATATAATAATTAAAAAGAGATGAGTTTACTAAGTTTCAAAACCTTTCTATTAGAGCCACACATCATTATTGTAACACTGTACCTGAATACTGCATGAACTCCTGAATCAACTTTCAGAACTTAGATGATAACCCAGTCTCCCCCCCCTCCCCCCCAGGAGCGTCTCAAGGGCACAATGAGGTGATAGTGTTGGAGGGGCAGGAGGCAGACGTGCCCTGTGTGACCACGTCCACCCAGGATAAATCTTCACCCATACACGAGCCTGACTCCAAGCACCTGCGACCCCAGCTCATACTGTGGTACAAGGATAGTATCAAGTCCACTATATACAGGTGGGTAGCACAGGTAGTGTGTGTGTGTGTGTGTGTGTGTGTATGTGTTGGATCCTGGTAACATCACCCTCACACCCACAGCTACGACGGTCGTGACCCCGACAGAGAGAGGCACTGGTCTCAGCGGAGGAGTTTGGGCGGGTCGGTCACCCTCAAGATGCCGTCCTCGCCTGACTCCCGCCCACAACTCGCCTTCCTCAAGATCTCTCATACTACCGAGACAGACGCTGGCATGTATAGGTGTCGGGTGGACTTCTACCGCGCCCCCTCCAGGAACACCCACACCAAGCTTATAGTCGTGGGTGAGTCTATTTGTCATTCTTAGCCTCCATACTTATTGTCTTTTACCATCCAAAACAATATGACAAAATCACTCATAAAGTGCATTTAAAAATAATCCTTTGAACCTCAGCGTGTAAGACTGCAGCATCAACAGGTGAACGAGAATACTGCCGGCCCTCACTCTGATACATCGCATTAAATAGTCACCGTTTCACATATACAACATTGTATATAAACAAGGTCGACTAAAAATCAGACAGTAGCTAAATTATGACCACACTTCAAAATCGAAACTATCCCTCACGGCCAAGACACACTATCAGCCAGGTATACTTGTCTACCTAGTAATTACTTCCCGGTATTATCTACCAATTACTTGCCCTCTCGGTACTTCCCTCACCAGTACTATATCCTCCTGGTAGTGTCCTCCCATTGCCACCTGTGAGGCCTGGTGCAGCTGTCAGATGGTCTTATTGATACTTCCTCCAGCTCTCACCTCCTCCTCCTACACCCCCCCACCGTACCTCCTAACCCTCACCCAACACTCTCCCTCACGCCTCCTTCCCAACACCCTTCCTCCCCCTCACCCCTTACCCCTCCGTCCCCTGACCCATTCACACCCCCATCCCCTCCTCTCCCTCACCCTTCCACACCCTCACCCCTCCTCCCCCTCAGCCTTCCACCCCTCACCCCTCTAATCCCTCAACCTTCCTCCCCCTCACCATTAACCAGCAGGTGGGAGGTGGAGGCAGATGTCACGGCTCTTAAGATTGACACTTCCCCCTCCCCTCCCCCCCTTACTTCCTCTCCGTCAGTGGATCAGTAAATCAGTCAGTCAAGTCAGATTAGGTTACGAAGTAGAGGAGTCTAGTTTCTACAATAGCTACCTACTGTATTATACACCAGGCCTGTGTTGTACCTGGAGTAGAATCGTATAACTAAACATCCCTATAATCATACAGACATAAACAGATAGTGATATAATCATAGACATATAAATACTATGTCCCAAAGCTAGAGAGAATAATCCTTGTCTTAGAGGCGTTTAGTGTGAGCTAGTAGTAGTAGTAGTAGTATAACCACATCACCGTAGCCTGTGCTAGTAGTGTCACGACATCACAGCTAGTTCACAGATAGTCAACCAATCAATCATTAAGGGGAGAATAACACCTGCTTCACCTCAACCAGTGTGTGTGATAAGTTTGGTTAGGTTAGGTTAGTCTAGGTCTATCTATCTATCTATCTATCTATCTATCTATCTATCTATCTATCCCACCCACCCCACCCACTCTCCATTGTCTCATACGCTCTCTCCCTGACAGCGCCGCCCAAGCAACCAAAAGTAGAGGTGTGGGTGGAGGGAAGGTGGTTGGAGGCGACCCATGACACCCCCACGCCCACGGTGGAGGTAGGCACCCGACTCCGCCTTCAGTGCTCAACCTCTGGGGGTAAGTACTTGAGGTTCACCTGCCTATCATAATGGAGGACTTTTGATGTTTATATTCAAATAATCTTTATTCCGAAATATTAGAAAGAGAGAGAGAGAGAGGGGGAGAGAGAGAGAGAGAGAGAGAGAGAGAGAGGGAAGAGAGAGAGAACAGAGAGAGAGAGAGAAAGAGAGAGAGAGAGAGAGAGAGAGAGAGAGAGAGAGAGAGAGAGGTAAATCATTTGGTTAATATTTCAGTAAAAGGAATAAAGGAACAATAATAGAGACATGGAGTGACATAAAAAAAACAATTATATTATAGAGAAAGAAAACAAACTATTCCAATATCAAGATGGCCGCCTCCTGGGGGTCACTGCTGCTGCTACTAATAATTCTTCCAATCCAGTATTTACAGGTATATAAATACTTGAAAGTAACCAACCACTTCCCATGTTCTATCCATAATGAAGTCACCCCTTGTCTGTTTTCTATACATATCGTAAACATACTTTCCGCTTTCTTTATATATATCTTTTATAAACCCACTATTCTATTTCTTATGCATAATGTATTTAAATGCCTACTCTCTGTTTTCAATACAAAAATAAAAACACCTATATTTCTAAACATTATACAAGTACCATCTATCTATTTTTCTATGCATTATTTCTATACCCAATTCCCGTGTTTTATGTACACCAGGTCGCCCCGTGTCGACAGTGACGTGGTGGCGGGGAGGTCAGCAGCTCCTGGGGGACACAAAAGCTCTCAACGGGCAGGTGGTGAGCACAGTGGACGTGAGTGTGACACAAGAGGACGCCCACACCCCTATAGTGTGCCAGGCGTCCAACACCCACCTCATGCCCCCTCTGAGGACCCCCTTCCAGATGCTGGTGTTGTGTACGTGTTGCTACTGTTCTTTTGTGTTCGCTTATTTTGTGAGTGTAGTGTTGTGTGTGTTGTGTTGGGATGTGTTGTGTGCGTGGTGTGGTGTGGTGTGTTATGTGTGGTATGATGTATTGTGTGAGTGGTGTGGGGTGTGGTGTAGTGTGATGTGATGTGTTATGTGTGGTGTGATGTGTTGTGTGAGTGGTGTGGTGTGGTGTGGTGTGGTGTGTTATGTGTGGTGTGATGTGTTGTGTGAGTGGTGTGGTGTGGTGTGGTGTGTTATGTGTGGTGTGATGTGTTGTGTGAGTGGTGTGGTGTGGTGTGGTGTATTATTAACCTACCCAATTTGCCTAATAGCCACCCCATCATGCTGAAATGAGGCCAGACCTGTGTGTAGGATCCTTCCAGTGTTCCTGATAGTCTTGTCAACGGGAATTTTGGAGCCCAGTATTGCTCTCGCTCCCACAGCTTGATCTGACAGACTGTTCCATAGATCGACTAACTTCTGCGTGATGAACTATTTCTTTCTATTCGTCCTACATGACACCTTAGCGAGCTTGAAGTTGCGTCCTCTCGTGTTGGTGGTGTGTGACATCGGGTTTCTCGTCCCTTTCAAGATTGTGAATGTCTATGAGATTCCCTATTGTGTCTTGTCTGAATAGTTGTCATCCCTAAGGCCCTCAGGGTACTCGAGATGATATAGTCTAGGAATCATCTTAGTCGCTGTGCTGCACCTTTTCTCGGGACGTTACTGTATGTCTCCCTGGAAGTAAGGTTTGCATGCCTGTATAGAAAATCCAGATAAGGACGTACCGAGAAACTTCTGACTTTTTTCACTGTTGCCCCCACTTGTTGCGGCGCCTTTTGTCAACAGTATCCAAGAAAATGTTAACCATAAAGTAATTTCAATTAGGGTTGTTGTATTCTACGCACAGAGTCTTACATATTATTATGCAACTATATGAACAACTCGTGTAGATGTTTTCGTATGGTCGCGAACATCGTCTTGACTTGATATTTTCCCAAATATCTTCGAGTCGTCCGCAAACTTAACAATGAGGTTCAATATATTTTCATCGATGTCGTTTATGTAGATCACAAGCAGGGTGGATCCAAGGATAGATCTTTGTGGTATTCTACTGAGAATCTTTTTCTTTTTTTATTATGAATGTACTTCGTTTTTGACCATTCTTTGTTGCCTGTTATAGAGCCAATTGTTAATTCACTTCAATATTTTGCCTGTGATGCCATATGCAGTGGATTTGAGGCTAGTCGTGTGTGTGTGGGACTTTGCCAAACGCCTTAAAAAAATCATTTACAACAATTCCACTGGTTCTTGTAGTATGTTACCGCTTCAAGGGAAATTAGTAAGATTGTGTTGTAGTGTGTGTGTGTGTGTGTGTGTGTGTGTGTGTGTGTGTGTGTGTGTGTGTGTGTGTGTGTGTGTGTGTGTGTGTGTGTGTGTGTGTGTGTGCGCGTGTTGTGTTATATACGTACACCCTCAGGTGCACCACCAGACTACCAACAACAACTGAAATAATGCTAAAGTCTACCTTCAGGAAGTTTGTATATGTAATGTCAAGAGCTCACCTGACCAGTGCCTGCTCCTCTCCCTGCAGCGTCGCCGTCGTGGGTGCGGGTGGTGGGGGCGGACAAGACCATGTCTGTCGGGACGAGCTACACGGTGGAGTGTCGCAGCAGAGGCGCCACACCTCCACCTGTCCTCACCTGGGCTGTGGGTAACGACCACAACATCCACGCCTCTGCCACGGTCTGTGTACAAAGTCATTATTATTATACTGTATATCTAGTTGTTTGAGACAAAGTATAACAGATTATTTAAAACCATGTGAGTGTCATTCACTTGAGCTACATGTATACTGCGTATAGTTGTACCTATAGACAGAGAAACATTTTATATACCTGATGAGTCACGTATCACACATCAAATTACCTGGAGAATGGAGAGTTACATGTGTCGTATATCTGGCAAACTGAGGAGTCCTGTATAACACACCCAAGTGGCGACTACCACATATAACACACGTCCAATATAATTGTTTCCCCACAGACTGACGCAGAGGGGGAGACGGTGAGTCGCCTGGTGTATACGCCCAAAGTCGCTCACGTTGGCGCCCACCTCACCTGCACGGCACGCCCACCTGATCACGCCCACCATCACGCCCACTCTTCCCAGTCCACCCCCAACGTCTGGACCAAGAGTGACTCCGTGCCCCTGAGTATTATGTGTAAGTATTTATTTAATTTTATTTTTATTTTTATTTTATTTTATTTTTTTATTTATGTGTGTGTGTGTGTGTGTGTGTGTGTGTGTGTGTGTGTGTGTGTGTGTGTGTGTGTGTGTGTGAATGTTACAGAAAGACAGGGTAAGGAAGATAAAGATAAAAAAAGACAGAAAGAGACACGAACAGAGCAATAAAGTAGAGAGAGAGAAAAAACACAATTGACCAACACCAAGGACCATCACCAGTCATCACACACAATAACACTCAGACACACAGGGACAATAAGACGTTCACACACACACACACACAGATGTTATACAAAATCCCAGCCATACACACGCCTACATACACAACAATCACAGTCAACAAACACACTGCCACACATAACACACACACACACACACACACACACACACACCACTAAACAAACGCTCGTCATCCTTTAAGTAAAAAGAAAAAAAATGCCTCTCAATATAAATCGTTTCAGACAAGCCTGAGGTGGAGTTGGACCTTCAGAGAATCAGAGCCTCAGGCGACTCTGCCACTCCCAAGCCCCGTCGTCCTCCGTTCTCACCCTCCCTCTACAGAGGCAAGGATCAGGCCAAGTCGTCGACCAAACGCGACTATGCCAAGACAAAAGGAGTCATGAACGAGGAGAGTAATAAGGGTAAACATTCTAGCGACGACGAGGAGGTAGTGAACCTGGTGGAGGGGTCCGGGGTGGTGCTGCAGTGCCACGTCAGAGCCAACCCGCCCGCATATCACGTCAGCTGGAGCAGAGATGTGAGTGGCGGCTGCTGATCTCCTGTGGTCAAGGTCTGGAGTCGGGGCAGTCAGGGGGCAGGAGAGGAGGTGGGAAGGAGGAGAAGAGAAATGGTCTGTAAGGCATAAGGGCGGGAGAAGGAGAATCAGTCAAGGGAGGGAGGGAGGGAGGAGAAGGGTGAGTCATGACAGGCTGAGGAAGGGAGAAGGGTCAGTAGAGGGAGGAGGCAGGTGAGATAGGGTGGGATAGAGGGGTGGAGGGGAGGAGAGGTGGACTGTGGGGGTGTCTGGGATGTGTATAGCGAAACACGAGACCGAGTGAGATGAGGTTGGCGGGTTGGTGATGGAGAAAAACAGAGAGAGCAGAAGTTTACTCATCTATATTACACATGACTCATGCTGTAGTGTATTAATCCCTGCCAGTGACACAAACACTGTACAAGGTGTGGAGTGAGTTACAGCTGACGTCATGCTTCAGTGTCTTACGTTACCTTGGGTTGAGTTAGATGGCAAACTTTGATTCTTCTCAAGTGTCTCTGTAACAACTAAAAAGCTTCTACGGTTTTTTTTCCATAAATATCACATTAATATCTACTTATTTCTCATTTTTCTCAGTTTCTTTTAAGATCAAGTAGATAACATATTTGTGTAATAATTAAATGTCAACAAAGTAAGAACAGGGCGTGATCTCTTACCTAATATACCTTCCTAAATACCAAAACATGTTTGTGCCTCAGGTGTTGGCGAGTCTTAATATGAGGGACACCCTACAACACCTCTGACTCATACTCTGTATTCTTAAGTTATGATTATAAGTTAATACAGCTATAAATAAAGATCCTCCACACATCACCATACAAAAAATAGACCTAAATTCAACAGTTACACATTTAGTTAACATTTAGTTCACACCTGTTCAGGATTCTGTAAGATTCCTCAATGGGTTTTATTCCGTAACTGGAGATAATAGAAATGTCCATGTATGTTAGAGAGTCCAAGTATATTCTCCGCGCCATTTTGACCACCATCTTTATGCCTCGTGTTATGTCATCCAGTTGTAATGTTATGTCAACTTTTACGGGAAAAAATTATGAGGTATGAATCTTATCCTGTAGAAGGTGGATCCATTTTGTCTTCTGCTGTGATTGTCAGCGCTCCTAAAAAATCCGTGTTAACCACCAACTTTGAGCCACTGAAGTGACCTTTAAGTTAGCCACTGTCACACCAAATGACAACACACACACACTTTTATCCCCCTGAGGTTGACCCATTATTGTTGTGTGTGTGCAGGGGGCGCCGTTGTCACCGGGCATGAGCCATGGACTGGTGGTGGGCAACATGAGCGTCGTCCTCCCCAAATTACAGAGACACGACGCCGCCAACTACACCTGCACCGCCCACAACGCTGAAGGCTCCACGCGCAGCAACCCCATCACCCTGCATGTTATTCGTGAGTCAGGAGGCTGGGAGTGTATACGATGAAGACTGGGTGTGAGATAGGTAGACATATAGAGAGAAGGAGACCGATTAAATAAATAAAAATATATACTGAGGCAGATCGAGATATACATTCGAATAGAGGTAGAAAAGGCATTTGTTATAACGTCAGGATGGCCGAGTGGTCTAAGGCGCCAGACTCAAGGTAACTTCCCTTCTGATAGTTGGGTCATGGGAATTCTGGTCCTCTCTGAGGGCGTGGGTTCGAATCCCACTTCTGACACACATTTTGAGATGTTGATGGTATAACGATAGAACGATTTCCTATTAACTGCTCGTCACAAGTTTGATCCCAGGACAAATGGTGTGAAGGATGCTAGCTAGTGTGACTCTATCGTAGGTGTGTCCCGGTGTACTCCCGTGCTAACACTGGACTATGAAGGACCTTCGCCCGTCAAAGGGGCAAAAATATTAAGAACAAATAAATAATTGTGACAAATAAATATATTATAGATGAAGAGAAAGACAAATATGTACAGTGTGAGATAAACAAATAAGAGACGAAGAAAGAGAGATAAATAAGAGAGGGCTGAGATAATAAGCGATGGGTCGATAGATAGATACAGAGGGAAGGAAATGAGTGGTAGGGATTTAACGAGTGACAATACACCTTGGTGACGGTATCCTGACCTCCTCACTCCTCCTACAGATGGTCCTGAATGCCTCCGAAACACCCCGCAGGTCCTGGGCGTCCCCCGTCACCACGCCCTCAACGTGACCTGTCAGGTGACAGCCCATCCTCCACCCACTGCCTTCTCTTGGGCACTTAAGTCCTCTCGGGGCCTCCTGCAAGTCCCGGAGGAGATGATCACCTTCGTGGGATCCACTTCCTGGATATCATACACACCTCGGGCGACTGTGGACTACGGAGAGCTGCTGTGCTGGGCTACCACTCCTACTGGGCGCCAGAGGGATCCGTGTGTGTCTCGCCTGGTGCCTGCTGACAAGCCCGACGCCCCTGAGCGCTGTGGAGTGTCCCACAGGACCCCCAATTCCCTCACAGTGGCCTGTACCGCAGCACATGACGGGGGACTCCCACAGACCTTCTATATAAGGGTGAGTATAACGCCACCTCACTTACCTGTCTGCGGTAACCCCGACCAAAATATACCCTGGAATAAGGAGCCTCTGCCTCACATTCCCTGAAATATACCAGGAGTGCCAAGGTTTCTGGGGAGTATTTTATTCTGTTGGATATTTTACCTGGAGGTGCCAGCACTTCTGTGACACACTATCTCCCGCTTCCTTGTTTGATTGTAGATAATCCTTAGTTAAAAACTTCAGTATTATGTAAATAATTAGAAACAAAGTAAAATAATTCCTCTGTCCTTCTGTATGCTGGAATCTTTCACTAAATAAACCAAGAAGGCAATTAACTGTGACTGTTTAAATGACACCATAAAGTTTATGACACAATGTTGATACCTGACAGGTGTTCCACGAAGGGAGGCTTATAGCCAACAGCACCAGTGTCACCTCCGAGATCATAGTCTACGACTTGGAACCTGACACCCGTTACCACCTCACACTTTGGTCTGCCAACACCCACGGCACCAGCAGGAGAACTGCCTTTTACGCCTCCACCGCCCCTTCCAACACCTCCACCACCAGCAGTATGAACGGCCACTCCTCCAGCAATAGGGAGGGTCCAATGACGATTCTGGGGCCGTCGCTGGTGGCGGTGGTGGTGGTGGTGACGGTGCTGGGGGTGGTGCTGGGTGTAGTCCTGGGTATCGTCACACAGAAGATTTCGGTGCCACACAGTTTCTCTCACGATACAGACGAAGAGGAACCCCCGGAGTCGCCACCTGTCACTGGCCGCTCTCGTGTACCCATGGGGCGCTTAGGTGAGTCCCGCAGGTAGGGAAATAGGAAAGGGTAAATACGAAGCCAATGTGTATGACTTCCTCAGTGGAATATGGCATGACTTGCAACATACCTTGATTCTATCAACACCGTATACTTTTGCCCATTTTGCTTACTCTTTCAGGCAGAAGGAACCGAAGTTTTATAGGAGACAAAGGGAAGCCAACAGCACGTTATGATGTCGTCATACCTGCTCCAGCACGCCAAGATTCACATATATATGCAGACCCCATCGCCCTACGTAGAGAACGAGCACATCAAGCAATACCTACAATAAATACTACAGTCATCCCAGAAACAGACTGTCCCACGTTTTCTATGACAGCAACTGAATTCGGCATCAAATCACAATCCTTCTCGTGGCACCTCCCAAACTCTCGCCTGCTACGTAATAAAATTGACCTTAAAGTCCAAAGCAGAGAAATTCCACGGAAACCTGTGAGAGTAGAACCTCCTAAACTTCCTACTTCAGGTGAGTGTAACTCCGTCACTCCAATAACGAGAACTAAACCGGCGCCTGCATTAGAATTTCGACTGATATTAATCCCTGAAACTAGCAAGATGCTTCAGTTTGCCCTGGAGAGAGACACTAGACTCATATCATATTTATCCAAAGACTCAACTGTATCCAGTTCACCTTCGAAGTTTCCCACGATAACTGAAGAGGAAGAATATAAGCCTCGGAGTGTCAACACAGACCTACAGCATCAGAAGAATTATTCAGTTACCCCGTACGAATCGATTCCCGTCCAGAGTAGAGCCATTATAGAAAACGAAAATCATAGGCAGACTCCAACATTACAACCTATTCAGGAGCATCCCGTAGACTCTGCAGTAGTGACTCATCAACGCGACACTCCACAACAGTCTGGCGCCAGTGTCGAGATAAAAAGACCAAAAACTATATCAACCGATATTCAGGATATCATTAACCAACAGCAAATACCAGACATTGAAGTCAGTGACTATGACAACCATAAAATCCCCACTCCGCCAAGCCCAGAACCAGACATAACAAACAAGACGACCCAAGAAAGAACACCAGGCGACACACACCAGGCAAGACCAAGTATATATAGACACGAAAATCAGAACAAACTACCCAATCCCCGACCATACAGTGTCCCCAACAACCAATCAACAGCCACAAAAAGAGTTAGAATAGTAATAGACAATGAAGATGAAACGATGGCCAAGATAGGTCGTCACCTCCTCCCGCGGCCACGGGGAATGAAGATCTCTGGAAATGGACAGGGGCGTGCGATACCGTCCATCCCCCTGGCGGGTAAACTAAAAATATCAAGAGGCGACGATTCTGAAACGACAGCTAAAATAGGTTGTCAGCTCCTCCGGCGACCACAGGAGGTGAAGGTCTTTAGGAATGGACAGGGACATGCAATACCGTCTATTCCCCTGGCGGGTAAACTCAGCAGACACCACCCCTATGTAGCGCCCCTAGCCAACATCAAACGAGGACTGAGGACGCCCATTACGCCATCAATGAAACGCTTGACGGAGCCGCTGGTGAGTCATTCATGGCTGCCAGTTACTGTTTCCTGATTTACTTTTATTATTGAGGGATTTTAGGGACTTATTGAGTAATGTCGCCCATCCTTACTGTCGACTCACCCATATACAATTGCCTGTCGATATAACCCATCCTCACTGTCGACCTTCTCACTTACCAAGTATAAAATGTACAAACAAACACCTTTTATAAACATTATACAAAGACAATCATAAGCATAAGTACAATAGGCATCTCAAAAAAAAAAAAGTTGCATTAGAGTAAGTGTAATAGTGTACTGTGAAGTTGTAAACAGTGTGAGACTTTATATCATTAACACTTAGGTAATAATTGACTATTTCCGTTTGCCTCTGTAATAACACGAGACAATCAAATTCATAATAAAGTAAAAATAGAACAGACCAAACATCCCGAATGGCTAGTAAGTTGAATTATGGAGAAATGATCAATTATCTTTTACGTATCGCAATCAGAACAGATTACAAATACGGCGTTGCTAACTTTCATTGGATACTTCTGAAATTCAACAACCTGCTTCCTCGTCGCTGTGTTCCTTGCATAACCTTGGGTGGTATTAGATCATATCTTTGTGTTTTCTATGTAATGATAATAATGTTGTGGTAACCTAATATTGTTACCTGTAGTGCCAACTGGTTGACTTAACTCTGCGTAAGAGTAATATCCAAAAATGATATCTAAAGTACGCTAAGACTCTACCTTTATTAAACACCTCAACAGACTCAACTAAAATATCCTGTACCATAGTTTTATCTGGCACTAAGTGAACGTGTCTAGAGTCTCAGTATAATGTCAATATTATTTTTGTACGTTATTTTTGCTTCAGCTTAAGTTCAAGTACAACCTTACATCTTCACTGGCGAGATGTATTCGTCGTCCGAACCTTCCTAGAAACTATCCCCCCCCCCTCCCCTCTTACATTCTCAAAGACTCGTTCGTAATCTTTTCCCCACCCTCCTCGCCCAGGCTGAGACTGTAAGAACGCGTCGACCTATGATACTCATTACATGTGACTTCACGTGGGTCACTATTTCAGTACCAGCTAAATACTGTGCTCTTAAGCCTCCAGTTATGGGTAGAATGTTAACCTTTGGCATTATTGAGGAGGGCGATGGTGTTTCAGTACCTGGAGTCTTGTCTTCACTACACTCCTAGGAAACAATTTGAGTTCATCAATTTATTATTAGGAATGTTATCACGTGATTTCTCCTACACTCTTATCGCTGTTATCGCTGTTCAGATGAGAGGCCGGTGAACGTTGCCTTTGTAGGAGATAAAAGATGATAACTATATAAACATAGTTCTACCTCCGCCACGAATGAAAATGGTTCCAGCACAGCGCATAATTTCAACATCTCTCGCGCCACTGATGTGTGATGTCATGCCTCTTCAAGTACCTCTCACTATAAGTTAACACTATTCAACGATAACAATAATCTCCTTACATCTTGTATTTATTTTTCACTTAATAATAACTCGATATATTTAAAGATATTATTTCAAACATCTTATAATATCAACGGTGAAGGTGACAGCTACGCGTGATGTTACAAGACCAACCATTGTGGTGTAAGAGAGGTGGAGGGCCGCTATATCTGTTTATGAATGAACTGGATATAAAGACCAGTTGTTGTTGTTGGCCTTTAAGTATATATAGGGTACACCCATGACACACTTATCACTTCTCGCCTGCGTCTTGTCAACACCTGAGCCACGCTAATAGGTGTCACACAAGTGATCGCGGGCACCTTCGTGCCCAGTGAAAGTTTGAAAACTCGTGCTTGGTTAGCGTACAGCGAATGAGGATGCGCCAAGTCCGTAGACTTGCATGGTTAATTAGGGTGCGCCAAGTCCGTAGACTTGCATCGTTTTCCATCGTAAATAAAATGGTTAATTAATGCCTTCCTAAAGAAACCATCGACATGGGACCAGGTTTGTTCCACTCTACGAATTTTTTGCGATTTATCCAACAAGTTTGATGAAAAACGATTGTGCCGTTTCGGTTGCCCAGAACAGACAGACAGACAAACAGACAGACACACGCCTAGTCCTATAGTATATTAGATATAGTTAGTTTTGTCAGGTCATCCCAGCAGCCTTCCGAGATGATACACGGTGACTCTTACTACTGTTCATGTAGACAACTAAGACGTAGAGCAGACTGAGGGCTATTTAGATCTGAATAAAATCTAATAGACGTAACACTGTGTATGTCTGTAAGGCCAGCCTACTAGGACCCATACGCTATCGACAACACCCTATTGTTATTAAGGCCTATTTATTCCCCCTAAGATATAAAGGAAAACAAACACTATACACACCTATAATAATACTGAAAATAGATCGAGTTACAATTAACAAAACCTAATAGGCCTACTGCTATGTACATATGACTGACTGTATATACCCATATAATATAACCTTTTCTAGAGATATATATTTTAACCTATATGCCTGCAACTTATAGTCTCTAATATAGCATAAAAACACATAGTTCACATTTTTTAACTTGTGGGGTGGTCACTAGAGCCGAATCAACTGCCTGTGAGAATAACCTGTGGTCAGTTCCCGCCTCCTGGTTACTACAGGAGCCACCAGGAGACAGCAGTCAGTAGGTACACCTTCCCACTCACCTCCAAATAACGCGGGGATGAGCCTTGGTGGTTGAGTTATAGGTGTTAAGTACGATGGGTTAGGTTAGGTTAGGTTAGGTTAGGTTAGGTTAGGTTAGGTTACATTTTATCAGATTAGGTTATAGGTTAAATTAGTTTACATTAAGTAAGATTAAGTCACATTGGCTTAAGTATGGTGAGGTTATAATACGTCAAATTAGGTTAGGTTAGGTTAGGTTAGGTTAGACGAAATTACGTTATATTAGGTAACAAGTGAGTAACGAAGAACCGCCGTGTTGTAACCCCCCTGACCCCTCTCTGCCTCCCCCTACCCCCTGTGAGCCGGACCAGGATTTGTTTAATAAAAGACCTGTTAAATTAAATGTGACACACAAACAATCTGTTCATCCTTCACAAAAAAATCCGCCTCGAGTTTCAGAAAATTGTCGACGACTCCTGTAAAAGGTGAAGCTCTGGTCACCTTCTGTGGGGATTACCCGAAGAAGATCACCTGAAGATTAGCCACCCCAGTCACCCCAAACCTAACCTAAACTAACCTAACCTGGTAGAGTTAGAGTGTTTTTAATCATCAGGTGAAATAAGGTAAGGGAGGTTTAATCTTCATGAGACCTCCTAAGAAAACTAGAGCCTTGAAACACCCAATCCAGCCTATACTAGTCTTGTTACATAACCTGGTGTAAATGTCATCCACCTACGAACTACTGTACCAACACCACACTAGTACAATTATTTACAACCATTTACAACAGTTTCGTGGCAAAAATTATTTCCAAGAGTGTCTAAACGTATCATAGCACTTCGGTCCTTCCTCCATCATTCGGTGTAATCGGTCACGTGTACGTCCTTGAATAGCAGTTGTACAGTACGTATATATTATGACTCTCCTGTACGTAAAATCAGTCACTTTGTCGCTTTCTGTCTCACTTTTTCTGGTTATTTTCCGAGTGTGTGTGTGTGTGTGTGTGTGTGTGTTATGGCGTGGGTAGTTCCGGTGACGTCATCAACAGGAAAGAATACGTTAGCGATTCCTGAGTCATAAAAACTGTAGCTTTGTGGTTGGTCCGTTAATAGACAATAAACACTGCCTCGGTGTATGGGTAATCGTGTTTTAATCGACTAGAATTGTAAAAAGGAATTTTTATGATAGTGACTGAATTACATGGGAAGTAGAATAGTAGTAGTAGTTGTAGTAGTAAGTAGTAGTAGTGGCAAAAAGGAAAGCAGTGTTAGTAGAATAAAAGGTAGAAGTAACTCCTGTCATAATTGTGGCAGTCAGGACAGGTAACTTATTAACCCTCGTCTCCTCCCTCAGATCATGCCCGAGGTGACCAGCAGCCCTCAACCTCCCACACCATCAACCACATTCGGTGTCCTTCGCAAACCACGAATCGGCCTCACCTCCCTCTTCAGCCTTTCTTCCTCCTCTTGTTCCTCTTCATCCTCGTCTTCCTCCTCCTCTTACTTGAGCAGATGGACCAGCAAGAGGTCGAGGGAGGCCACGCCTTCACCTTTCACCGATATCAGGATGCGTGAAGGGGTTCTGAAGAGGTCGTCGAGGAGGTCGTCTTTCGGGAGTCTGGTATCAAGACCTCGGAGTGTCCATATGTCGTCGGGTCCTGAGCAGGCCTTGCACTGTTGTGTGGACAGCGACTGTCTCTCCTCGTCGTCTACTCCCTCTTCTCCGAGGTCGTCTTCGTCCTCGTCGTGCCTCCCTCACTCCTCGTCGTCCTCGTCACCCGTGTCGTCGTTCTACTCCTCGGAGAACTCGCTCTCAATCTCCGCCTCTTTGTCTCATTCTTCATCCTCTTCCTCCTTCCAGTTCACTTCTTCCTCTTCCTCGTCTGCTGTATCTAGTTCTCCATTCTCCTCTTTCCTCTCTCCATCTCTGACGTCTCCCTCTTCGTCCTCTTTCTTGTCTCTTGCATCTTGTTCCACCTCTCCAGATTCTGTATTTTCAGGACAAATAACTCCCACTTGAGGGTGAAAGTGAAAGTGGATCCCATAGCCCTGGCTGCCCGTTAGGGACGGTGTGAATACAGCACTGTGTACTAAGCCTTTGGTATACCAGAAGACAGGGTGGCCGACACTGTACTCGACCACCTTCACTTCCGAAACTGGGTAATCTGGGAGTGCCCCGAGATCAAACTAGCGACCCTTAGGACAAGATGCGAGCATTGTATCTATTCGGCCACCACATCCCTCAAGAGTAAACTGCCACAATTGTCAGAGTTGAGGGAGGTCGACACATCCCTTGAGTGTAAACTGCCGCATGTGTGAGTGATAACTGAGGTCGACACATCCCTTGAGGGTAAACTGCCACAAGTGTGAGGGATAACTGAGGTCGACACATCCCTTGAGGGTAAACTGCCACATGTGTGAGGGATAACTGAGGTCGACACATCCCTTGAGTAAACTGCCACAAGTGTGAGGGATAACTGAGGTCGACACATCCCTCGAGGGTAAACTGCCACAAGTGTGAGGGATAACTGAGGTCGACACATCCCTTGAGTGTAAACTGCCACAGGTGTGAGGGATAACTGAGGTCGACACATCCCTTGAGTGTAAACTGCCGCATGTGTGAGTGATAACTGAGGTCGACACATCTCTTGAGGGTAAACTGCCACAAGTGTAAGGGATAACTGAGGTCGACACATCCCTTGAGGGTTAAACTGCCATAAGTGTGAGGGATAACTGAGGTCGACACATCCCTTGAGGGTAAACTGCCATAAGTGTGAGGGATAACTGAGGTCGACACATCCTTTGAGTGTAAGGTTTGAAATAGGTCAACACACCAGGTATTATTTAATGTGCAATAACACGATTAAATACTTAACACACATAAACCTTAAGCGTTGTGTAGTCTGTATCAGAGTATTTTTATATTTTTGTCACACTTTTTGTACATTAGTGTTAGTACAGCAGAGCCTCACGCTGCTCCTGGTAGGTTAAGGACGACCTGTGTGATGGGTCAGACCAATGATGTACTGTATACTCTCATCAAACCAAATATACTTGTTTTATAATCATGAATGTTATAGAACCTTCTTTAAGAACCTGTGAATGTTTCTTATTTTATTCTAAGTTATATTTAATGAAAAAGACGATAAATTATTTCATTCATATTCAAATCTGTATTCATAGGTTTATTTAAACATAAGAGTACAGGTGTAGTGATTCTAATAACTCAGTCTAACCGGACGGATAAGAACGCTCAGCCTCTACAAGACTACCAAAGGTATACAGTATGGTAAGTAGCAACGTACACCATATACTTAGCACCTACACTGCCAGCCGCACGAGTTAAATACACCATATGACAGTGGATTGGCTGACTGGCTGGATGACTTTAAATTTAATCATAATCTCTCTTTAATTAATTATACTTGCCACGACAAATTAAAAAAAAAGGAAATGAAACAAAAAATCAACGTAAACAAATGAAAAATACTAAAAAAAATAACAAAAACTCTGGAATTTCGCCGGGAAATCCTCCTCATCAACCACATCCATCGGTTGTTATTATACGTTCGCAAGGACCGACACGCACACAGACAGACGCCGTCATTTAGCTCGCAGCAGAGGACTCAGAACAGCGCCCACCAGGGGGGGGAGAGGGGGGGAGAGGGAAGTGGGGAGGGTAGAGTGAGGAGGAGGGGAGGAGAGGTGGAGGGGAGAGGCATTATACAGGCCTCTTCACAATAACACTGAGGTGGGGAAGGGGAGGAGGAGAGGGGGAGGGAGGGAGGGGAGGGGAGGAGGAGGGGAAGGAGGGAGAGAGAGGCATGAGGAATCAATAACCTTGTCAGTACACAATGAGGGGGGAGGAGGAGGGGGGGGTCAAGGGCTGGCGGCCACGTCACCTGATGCTGGTGGCTATTGGTGGAGACAAGAGAAATCACCTGCTGGTCATCTACACCTGTACTGGTTGATCTATCTAATTATCTATCTATATATCAGTCTGTCTGTCTGTATGTCTGTCTGTCTCTCTGTCTATCTATCAATTCTCTCTCCTTGAAGTTAGAAAAAACGTCACTGGTTTTAAAAATAAGAGAGAGAAAGAGAGAGAGAGAGAGAGAGAGAGAGAGAGAGAGAGAGAGAGAGAGAGAGAGAGAGAGAGAGAGAGAGAGAGAAGAAAAAAAAGATAACTAAACATAAAACATTTAAAACAAATAAGATAATTAAACATCAAAATACATTCCAAAGATAAGAAAAACCAAAACACCATTAATAACACGAAAAAAAATAATTAAAAAAACACTAAATATGTGGATAATGGTGAACGATAAATAAGGATAAACCTCCCGAGTGAACGAAGAATTATGAGAAAAGTGTTAAAAGTGAGTGTACAGTATACATTGGTCACCTTCAACAAGACAATATAAGTAAACACTCCTTAAGTAGGTAGGTAAGTATAGCTATAAGAGGAGATAAGTAAATGGTTATAAATAAAAGTAGGAAAGTAATTACGACTATAAAAGTAGATAAGTTAGTACGACTACAATTATAAGTATATACGAAAGATTATTATAGGTGTTAAGTAATTATAAACACAAGTAGATAAAGCAAGTGGATAAATGGATGGGTAAAAGTAAATAGATAGTACACATACAGGTAGATAAAGTAGTATAAGTAGACGAATAGGTACATTTATAAGTACAAGTTAAGTAAATTTAGCTACTAACTTACAAGTAAGTAAATAAGTAAATGCTATTTTGAGAACAAATACATAAGTAAATACCGTTTTAAGTGCAAATAGTTAAGTAAATACAACTATAGGGACAAACAAATAAGAAAGTAAAGTAAAGTAAAGTAAAGTATAAGTCAAGCACAGTAGAGCCATATTAAGTAATGTAAATCAGAGAGTTCGTGTAAACTGTGACATGTGACAACAGAAATGGGGTGTTGCGTAAAGCTCAACTTCCAAGGCTGTCAAGTTGACCTGAGTTGACATTATCGAGAGGTCACGCCCTTCATTTCAATGAAACAAAGATTATGTGTGCGTGTCTGTGTGTGTGTTATGTACAGGACACTCAAGGGCACGACATAAGTGGTACTTTCTAAGTGTGAGGAATTAAACTCTTCATCTGGACGGGTCTTTGTCACCCAGGACATGTTAGAGAATGGCTTAACAGCCAACTAATGTCTTAGAAAGTGTTAGCACCTACACCTGGTGGATCTGTTACGCTGAGTTTGGTGAATCTAGACAAGAATAACTCGATATCCTATGGTATTAAAACGACTGCCCTGTGTTCACTCCTTTTAGTGAAAGGCTCTGGGAGAAAACTCAGACAGAAAACTGGTTGGAGTCCCTCGAGGCGGCTGATGGACAGATTCGTTTTCTTGGAACTCCTTCAGCCAAAGTCAGCCGGGTCATGCTTGGTTGTGTAGCAGCGAGGTCTCCAGTAAGTCCTCAGCGGCGGGGAATGTGGCTTACGTGTTAAGCCCTCAACCACACCGGCGAATGAAGGTCAAACATGATCAACTTGGTAGTAAAGAAAAACTCAAAAACCTGGGCTTTCGACCTCAGTTGGTGCGGCTGAAATGCGCAATTGCAGCTGGCGCACCACACTAGTCAAGTTACGCAAAGTTATCACCAGGTTCATATCACTCCTACCATCCTTACCCTCACTACCAATAAGTCCTTCGGCGACGGACGAGCGAGGATGACTCCTGGGAGTCCTTGGTTACATACCTGCACGTGAGAGGCACACATAAGATGGTTGATAATGTACTGGAATTTAAGTAGCAGTACAACCCGGACCTGTTTGTGAGAATGGGCAGCCCTATTCAGGAGTCACAGGGACAGGGGGCTAGAAAAGGTCCCCTAAACAGCCTGCCTACGACTACTCTCCTGCAATGAGTACCAGCACCTTAAAGTCATCCCTAGTGCCTTCAGAAATCACATAAAGGATGTAACAAAAGATCAAAACCAACAATACAATCCCTTACACCACGTCACGGATACTGGCACAGTGAACGTCCCGAGAAGACAGTCCTTGTGGCGAGAGCTGTCTAGACATAACATGAACAGAACAGACATAGGAGAATAAAGACTCTCTGACGAGGGTCAACTCACGAAACAGAGGACCAGTTATACCTTATCATGGAAGGTGCAGCCACAGAGTACAATCGCCTCTACGGAGTTACCAATGAGTAACCAATATGTCTATCGAGATCAACGAGCGCCTCCGCTTTCGTCATCAGGTAGGCCTTTATGCCGACCTTGATACTCTGTTGACTTCTTTCCTCAGAGAAGATAAGGTTGTGTTCCTCGGTGACTCCAATCCCAAAATTGGCAGAGATGCTGACATCTGGCAGGGAATCATAAGAAGAAATGGATTAGGCAAGTGTAATCCCAACGGCCTACTCCTCCTCAGCAAGTGTAGTGAACACAACCTTACTATTACCAACACGTTGTTTAGGCAGGACGGCAAGTTCAGGGGTTCTTTGCAAAACTCACGACCCAAACATTGGCTTCTCATTCGCCCATTTTTTTTAACAAATTTATTTGTTACTTAAAAGTAACCCGATGTACGGGATTCCTCTTCGGATTTACTGCCCTAAATGTAAAAAAAAAAATGGTCTAGTCTGACTACATCATTGTCCGAAAAAGAGATCACCGAGAAGTCCTCATCACTAGAGCCATAGGTGACTCAGGCCACTGTGATGCAGATGATCTCATCAGAAGAAGGAAACCCTTCCCTTCCTGTCGTCCCTAAAGGACGAAAGCAACAAGTTGTTAGAAGGAAATTCAACGTAAAATAACTCGAGGACCGGGAGGTGGTCCACATATTTAGGGACCATCACCAGGTGAGACTTCTGAACACCCGACTTCTGGCGACTTGGTTGTGAAGGCTCAGTGGGATACCCTTAAGACCGTCATCACGGACACACAGCGAGATCCTTGGCAGTCCACAAATCATCAGCAATAGTTCGACGGAAAAGCCGGGAAAGCCAGTTACTCATCTCTAACAAGCGTCTCTGACAAGCGTGACAACCAAACTTAACCTAACTTACTTTAACTTTGGCTATCATATGATGGTAAACGACGTCTTCAATGAAACAGCAAATTTTACCAAATGTGGCTTCATTTTCATTAAGTTACAGCAATAAAAAGAAAAAGTTATCCTTAGCCTGGTGGTGTATGTGTATATATATATATATATATATATATATATATATATATATATATATATATATATATATATATATATATATATATATATATATATATATATATATATATATATATATATATATATATATATATATATATATATATATATATATATATATATATATATATATATATATATATATATATATATATATATATATATATATATATATATATTGTGTAGACACAGGTATATTCATATATTCATAAATTAATATACACAAATGTATCTGTTTATATATCCACCGACACATTTTTTACACGGTGTGAAACTGGCAATTAGGTAGATGTGTCGTGTTTATGGGTCACTCCTCTACCTCTGCCATTAGTGGTCGGGAAAGGCTAAAGGTCAAGGCTACACAGTCAAGGGTGTAACGAGCAGCACCTTCCTCTGTATGTCTCGGTGTAGGTCTCTCCCTCTGTAGTGTGCTCCGACTCCCATACTCTCAACCCTTCTCTCCTCTACCACCTTCCTTCCAACGTTCGTCTCCATTTCCCACCCCTACTTCTCCCCACCCCTCCCTTCCCTTCCATCTCTCCTCCTTCTCCTTCCTTCAAGGACCAACAACAGCCTCCACCTGTTGCCTTATATCTCCTACTGTCAAGACTCGTAGGTAGTCCTTTCACCTGCATGTCTGAAAGGCGCCAGCCCTAACAGGCCCCAGTCCTAACAGGACGCAGTTCTAACAGATCCCAATCGTAAAAGATCCCAGTTCTAGCAAGCCCCAGTAGGGTTTTTATGGGGTATGTCCTGGGGTAGGGTTCCTCTGGGGTATATTTACGGTTCGTCTTTGGTTTACCTGACGTTTGCCTGGGGTTATATATGGGGTTACTCTGGGGTACGCCTCTAGGAAGAAGGTTCTTCTACTGGGTACCTGGGGCTCTAATGTGGGTAGGACCGGGAACGGAATATCTCAAGGGGTATATCTGGGGTTTATTTGGGATATTTCTTGGGGAGGATTCATCTGTGGTATACGACGTCCGACACAAAAATAACAAGACTGACCCTATAACTCGGGAACCAAGAGTGGGAGGGGAGGGACAAACAGACGGTTATTGAACATGTTCTAACCTGTCACAGTGTGACAAGGCTCAACTAGATCGTTTAACTCAGCACAAGTGGACGCGTATTGAAGTATAGACGTGTTCTTACATTCGGTCGGAAAATGTCGGACTGCAAAACTGAGCAACGAGTTAACATCAAGTTTCTGGTTAAACTTACGAAATCCTCGTCGGAAACTTTTCAATTATTGACTGAGGCTTACGGTGAAGATTGCATGTCTCGTGCACGCGTTTTTGAATGGCACAAACGATTTTCGGAAGGCAGAGAAACCGTGAAAGATGATGACCGTCCAGGCCGCCCACGCACAGCAGTTACCGATGACAAAATTGAAAAAATTCGAGATATGATTAGAAAAAACCGTAGGTTGGGTGTTCGAGCAATAGCTGAGAAAGTTAATTTAGACAGGGAAAGTGTTCGGCGCATTCTAAAGGAAGAATTGAACATGACAAGGGTTTGTGCAAAAATGGTTTTAAAAAATGCTGTCAGATGAACAACTCGCCAGCCCACAACGCTTTGTCTGCGAAGCAGTTTTTAGCCACTAAAAACATCACTGTGCTTGAGCACCCACCCTATTCTTCAGATCTGGCTCTCTGCGACTTCTACCTCTTCCCAAAGATTAAGTCCGTGCTCAAAGGAACCAATTTTTTGTCGGAAGAAGAAGTGAAAGCAAAAACGATGGAGCTCCTCAACAGCCTTACAGAACATGATCTGCGGAATTGCTTTGAACTGTGGCAGCATCGTATGCAGCTGTGTGTCAACTCAGAAGGGAACTACTTTGAAGGCGATCACAGTTGATTTTCTTAATTTGGTAAATAAAAAGAGGAACAGCATCAGCCTCGGTTTTTTTTTTTTCGTGTCGGACCTCGTATATGGAGTTAATCCGAAGGTATGTTCAAAGGGTTTCTCTGGGGGTATGTTTTGGGGTAGGGTTCCTCTGGCTAGTATGTTTTGGGTTAGGGTTCCTTTTGGGGTACGTCTTGAAGTTGGGTTCCACTGGGGGTATGTTTTAGGGTAGGGTTCCTTCTCTGGGGTTATTTCTAGGGTCATATCCTAGTGTCTGGGGATAGAGAGATATGTCAAGGTTGATGTAAAACAGGAAAATAAACAGGTTTGTGAAAGTAGACGTTGTATTTATAAGACGCTGAACTATACTGTCGCCAATGCCACGTATCAGAGGTTCAGTGCTGAAGGTTGGGAAACAAAAAAATATTATACTGGTAATTATATATATATTTCTTTCTCAACAATTGAAAATGGCCTCTATATAAGATTAATCATGGGGACAATCATAATACAAACTATAAATGAACATCATCACTACTAACCTAACCTAACCGAAACTAACCTAAACTAACCTAATATTTGTATAGTTCCCTCATATTATAATAGTAACGGACACCTTAAGTGAAACAGTAAAGCTTACTATATATGAACTAATATCCATTAAGCTATAGCAATAAAAAAAATACAATGTAATTTTTTTTTCCGTCATTTGACTGTCTAGCCAGCAGTAATTGGGGACCTGGATATTAATCGATTTGCAGGTCGTTATTCCTGGATAATGATGAGCCAGTGCTGTTGCCGAGTTGTCCGGTCTTCTTGGCTTATTCCTTGACACTAGATCACACAACTCGTTAACTTAGGGTGTGGTTGTTATGTTGGCGACAGCTTCTACGCCTTAAACTAATTCGCGCCTAGACGTGATTCCTATTTTACACCGTCACGGAAACGAGTGAAATACTAAATAAATATAGAGAAACGAAGATAAATGTACAAAATCCCTCACACGTCTTGAGAGTCTCGGTGTAAACGTGTAAATGTCAGTGATGGTTCAAAAGGCCTAAGGGTATAAATTGTTCACACGAGTTACAACACCGGAAATAATGAGCCTTGTCATGGCCACCTGGCGTTTGGGGGGTCCAAGATGACTACCTGGCCCACTCATAATTAGAGGGGACAAAGCTTAGGTTCAGGAGGACACATAGTCAGGCGGACACATAGTCAGGAGGACACATAGTCAGAAGGACACATAGTCAGGAGGACACATAGTCAGGAGGACACATAGTCAGGAAGACACATTGTCAGGAGGACACATTGTCAGGAGGACACATTGTCAGGACACAGAGTCAGGAGGACACATTGTCAGGAGGACACATAGTCAGGAGGACACATTGTCAGGAGGACACATAGTAAGGAGGACACATAGTCAGGAAGACACATTGCCAGGAGGACACAGAGTCAGGAGGACACTTAGTCCAGGGAGGACACACACATAGTCAGAGGACACATAGTCAGGAAGACACATTGTCCAGGAGGACACATGATCAAGGAAGACACATTGTCGGGAGGACACAGAGTCAGGAGGACAAATAGTCAGAGGACACATAGTCAGGAAGACACATTGTCAGGACATAGTCAGGAAGACACATTGTCAGGAGGACACATTGTCAGGAGGACACATTGTCAGGACACCAGAGTCAGGAGGAACACATTGTCAGGAGGACACATAGTCAGGAGGACATTGTCAGGAGGACACATAGTAGGGACACATGGTCAAGGAAGACACATTGCCAGGAGGACACACAGAGTCCGGAGGACACTTAGTCAGGAGGACACATAGTCAGGAGGCGCATAGTCAGGCAGACCTTAGTCAGGGGACACATAGTCAGGAAGGCGCATAGTCAGGCGGACACTTAGTCAGGGGACACATAGTCAGGCGGACACATTGTCCAGGAGGACACATAGTCAGGAGGACACTTAATCAGGGGGACACACATGGTCAGGAGGACACTTAGTCAGGGGACACATGGTGGGAAGGCGCATGTGGTCAGGCGGACCTTAATCAGGGGACACATAGTCAGAGGACACATTGTCAGGAGGAGGGACACATAGTCAGGAGGACACATTGTCAGGGAGGACACATTGTCAGGACACAGTCAGGAGGACACATTGTCAGGACACACATAGTCAGGAGGGACACATGGTCAGAAGGACACATAGTCAGGAGACATTGTCAGGAGACCTGTAGTCAGGAGGGACACATTGTCGGAGGACACATAGTGGAGGACATAGTCAGGAGAACCACGTACCAGGAGGACACAGAGTCAGGAGGACACTTGAGTCAGGAGGACACACATAGTCAGGAGGCGCATAGTCAGGCGGACACTTAGTCAGGCGGACACATTGTCAGGAGGACACATAGTCAGGAGGACACTTAGTCAGGGGGACACATAGTCAGGAGGACACTTAGTCAGGGGGACACATAGTCAGGAAGGCGCATAGTCAGGCGGACACTTAGTCAGGGGGACACATAGTCAGGAGGACACATTGTCAGGACACATAGTCAGGAGGACACATAGTCAGGAGGACACTTAGTCAGGAGGACACATAGTCAGGAAGACACACTAACCAGTCGGTCATAAAAAAGAGCGTGTTCAAGACATTTACTCAAGCTACCCAAACTAACCTAACCATTGTAACCAAATCTAGCCAACCTAACCTAACCTAACCTAACCTAACCTAACCTAACCTAACCTAACCTAACCTAACCTAACCTAACCTAACCTAACCTAACCTAACCTAACCTAACTTTAACCTTTCTCTTTTTTTATAAATAAACTTTCTGACAGATCACCAAGGCCAGACTTGGTGAGGAAAATGAAAAAGAATTGGAATAGTGTCGGAATTTTTTTTAGCATGTGGAAAGACTAATCGAATCACCTGAAGATAAACACCCCCTGTTTATTTCACCTTAATGATTAACCACCATAACGTTAACCTAACCTAACCTAACCAGACGGACTCCAAAATGACATAATCTCTCCACCTCATCACAGCTCCCATCACAGCTGGTCACAGTGAGAGCTGGTCGTGAGCCGTATGTTGCTTCAAGACCACGACCACATCTGCAATTTCCTGTAATTCACTGTCTGAGGACGAGGTACAGTTAAGATGATGTTCTCTGACAAGCAGTGTACAAGTGTGTGTGTGTGAAAGGGAGAGAGAGAGAGAGAGAGAGAGAGAGAGAGAATTGGAGCGTCCAGACTTCGATGCCTCCAGCCAGATCAACACGCTAACAATATATAATAAACTTTTACCTTTATCATCATCCAGAAAACAGTACACTAGACAACACTCATAACACATCAAGTTGAGTATTAAACAAAGAGGCAACACACAATATATCTCAGTCGTGTGAAGACCCGTGAGTCAGACAACACACTACTTCCGGACGCTGAGCAGCACGTCACCTCCCAACTGAGTCACGAGAAATTCAAATATTTTACCCATAGAATCACTCACAGATGAATCATTCTAGTGTATTATGGTTCAATCTTTAACAGTGTGACTACAAGTGACCTCAGACTGGTATAAAATTATGTAGTATATAATTATATTAGGTGATGTGTGCGTCTCCCCCACCCCCCAACCCTACCCCCTACCCCTCACCTGGCTTACCGGATGGCTGAATTAAGGAAGGTTGGTGTGTGTGTGTGTGTGTGTGTGTGGTTGTACAGGCTAGCGAGGGTAACTGTGTCTCGTGTCTTTCAACTATCACGTGTCCCCTCTGGCAGTTTGCCTTGACAAGAGATGACCAAACGTGTTATCTTCTTCATATTTCTCATTCGGATTTACTTTATGAGATAGTTTTACGTGTCTACTGGATATGTCGTGTCTAAAACATGGATTAATATTATTTGTATTAGAACTCGACAAGATAGTGTTTTCGGCCCTGTCTGTCTGTCTGTCTATCGGTTCCCCCAAAAATAACTGAGGACGGGTTTGCAGACAGGCAACAGCGTGGTAGATTTAATCAATATGCCACAAGGTGCATATCACATCATAATTGGCCAAGTGTTGTCATGGTAACGGTTCACACAATGATAACAGATGGAGTTTTATGGTGTTAAAGAAAACGGTGACATGAGACAGGCTCCAGGGGTGACTACAATCATTTACAGTAATAGGGTCACTATTTACCCTACCATGGTAACGGTTCACGGCCAGAATTTTGATCAGATTGACTAATGTTATTGTAGTAGTAGTAGTAGTCGTAGTAGTAGTCGTAGTAGTAGTAGTAGTCGTCGTAGTAGTAGTAGTAGTCGTAGTAGTCGTAGTAGTAGTAGTAGTCGTAGTAGTAGTGGCCGCCATCCTCCCCAATAGCCCCTTCACACCATTATTCCCACATAAATATCCTAATACATAAGTATATCCTAGCTGTGTTGAGTGTTAGTTGAGAGAGAATCTAGACCAGTAACTGTTGCCTCATAATATCTGCAACTGTTGTCGGCTTTGGATTTTTCCTCTGCCCCTGGGAGCAAGCAGACCTAAGGAGAGAAGGACATCGACATCTCATCCAGGCTGTAACACATAACTTCTGGGCTGCTTGTTGATAGCACCTCTTCATGAAGCATCTTGCACTTGGTCCCATCCCACCAGAGGTTATATCACTAGAGTGAAGCTGCCTTGATCAATGTTCTGAATTTCTCACCCCTTATCTTGTCGTTCTGTTCCTCCTGTGTGCAGCATCAGAGCTAAGTTACGGTGACATGCGACCATGGGATAAAATATCCTGATGTCGAGTAATAGTAGTAGTAGTAGTAGTAGTCGGCAATGTATTTCAACTTTAAAGATGATAGTATATCTTTAAAGACGACGAGAGTCTTTTGAGTTAATGACAAGAAAATGAAAGGCCAGCGTCTCTCAATAATGCTTACCTGAGACACCTTCCTCACCCCCCCCCCGAGGCCATCTGCTTTTTACACAAACTGTACATTATTTCAATCAACCCTAAC